TGCTGTTGTAACTTCACAACATTACTCTGCAGTGATAGGTTACCTCATGGTCCTTTGTCATAAAGCGTCACACCCTGGCCAGAAAAACCTATTATTAACACCAGAGAGTTGTGCTGCTGGTTCAAGATGTGGGCAACGTTTCATAAGTAAGATGTAACTTGTGTTCATTTTGTATAAAACAGACCGAGTAAATAAAGGAAAGGAAAATCGTTTCAAAGAAGGTAAAGTTAATGATGAAGCTGTGTAAAAAAGGTTGAATTTTGCAGCTGTGAGAGGACAGATTATTAAAGACCACATGTGTCTCTAGGATGTGTATGTATTCCACAGTGCTTTTAATTAACAAGTGCATGAATTAAATAGAGCCACAGTTTGTCTGCCTGCTTGACTGAAGCATTAATCCAGCTGGAGTGAGGAAACTGAACAGGGCTCAACACTAACTTTTAAAACAAGCGTCAGCATTTGGTTACCGTATGGTTGCCATTTAAACATGTCGTGTGTATGTATGTTGGTATAATTTTCCATCCAGCTCAAAGATGCCGATACTTCACAAACGTCCAATCAATTTGCACATTAGATTGTGACGTTGACGCGTTAGTAGAACTTGTCACCTGGTTCTAACAGCAGTATTAAATATCACTCATGTCACAAATGTTAAAAATGTATTTATTTAGGAAGCACAATTTGTTGACCCTATTCTTATATTTTACAAAGTGATGGCCAATAATTGGTTTCCAATTTATCAAAATGGTTGTCTATGGCAACCTGGCAGCCCTTACTGTTGAGCCCTGCAGTAGTGAATCCCCGATGTACCTAACCCTAACCCACCAACCCTAACCCACCAGCCCTAACCCACCAGCCCTAACCCTAATGTAGACTGAATACTATGAATACTATGAATACATTTCTTCTGATCCGTGAGATTATCCTCCTGACATCCCAAACTGTCTCAGCTCTTTAACATATCAGTGCTGCTGGAGGTGAAAACTTTGTTTCTCCCAAATGTCAGCTTTAAACAACTGAAATAAAACACTGTTGCATCTGGTTGGACCACTGAATGAATGTCATTCACGATTTTGAAATGATTTCACCACAAGCTCATGGGAGGAGGAGTTTTCTCAACCCACAGAGGAACCTTGTAAACATTCAAACCCTTTCACATGACAAAGGCTAAGTTATGGGATGCTCATGTGATGTGTCTGAACAGGGCTTTCTGAATAACAGATCAAACTAAAGCCATCTGACAGAAAGATTTAGGTGGGGCTTCAAACACACTGTGACCTTTCACAACTTGGCTGCTGGATTGTTGGATGAAGGTAGCTGCCCCCCCTCTCTCATCACATATCCCCCCTCCCCTCCCTCACCACCACAAAGGTATTTCCCCTCCAGAAAAAGACGAGCCGAGCCATGTCAGGGCAGATGGAGATAGCATTTCAAACCGTCCCGTCCCCCAAGCTAAAGCAACTAGAAATGCCGCTGCATACCACATCCATTATCCTGTCTGGCTGTCCCCACTTCCAGCAGCAGCCTCCTTATTAACTCCTTTTTTAATTATTTTAAAGAGGGGACAGTTTGGTTTAAGGGAGCTTCACATCTGTGTATATTTAGTACTTAGGTACATTTCAAAGTACTTGTGTAGAATATAATTACAGCCTGACTGGAATGAATTATCATCAATGCTAAGAAAGGATCACAGCTTGACACCAGAATAACCCTAACCCAGGTGTAGTGGGGGCTGAGCCCTCTGAGAGAGCTGCTGTGATTCAAATGAAAAATTTAAATAATAATACCGCGATAAAATGGCTTATCTGGCAATGTGCCAATTCGGTAGATTTGCAGTGTCTGTCTTTAACTGGTAGTTAATAAATATCTGGCTGGTACCCGATTTGTTTTTTCAACAATGATCATTTAGATTCTCTTCCCTGCAGTGCCGGGATCAAGGCCAACAGGAACTAATGTAAAACTTAGAAGTTACATTTTATTCAAACTTAACTTTATGAGCCTCCCTTTGTTGCAAGAATGGAGTTTTGGTCTGTTATACCAACAACAGAGGAAAGAGGGACAACAGGGAGCCAAAGTGCCACCTCACCCCCAGGTTAGATTCTCTTCACTAGCTACTCCCTGTTCTGCCCAATGAAGGTTTCTGTCATTGAGGCAGAAACAGGCCCATATCTTAGTTAAACAGTATCTCTACAGCAGACCTACACTATCTGGTTAGTGGAACAAAGGCCATCTTATACAGGGGACAGGACTGCAGGTCTTTATTATTGAGTATGGATGTTGCCTTGAGGTGCTGTTGGAAATATGGTTCCTCCTAAGTCCACGTGAGGGTCAGCAAACAAAGCCAAAGGCTACAGTTTAAAGTCTCTGTTGTTGGGGCGATTTTCAGAGGAGCCTGAACTCACATTGTGGAAGCGAAGAGCTTTGAGGCATTCATGGAACAACACAAGTCATGTAAAGTAGACTAGAAACACCAGGGCAGCATTACCACATATCACACTTAGCCTGCATTAAACAAGCAGAATGTCAACATGGGAACAAAGTGGAGGCTTATCTGATGATTGACTAAACATTATTGGTTGAGGGGATGATGTATGCAGGCTACGAGGTAAGACAATGCAAATCAACCCCTATTTGCTCTGTATACAATCTGTTTTCCAAACAGATTTCTGCACTTCAGAATATTGCTGAAAGACACCAAGGCTGCTTGATGTGGAAATGCATTGGCAGAAGTATTTATTAAAACATTGATCACTAGAGCAAAGCCCAACCTGCTGCCACAAAAAACAAATGATGTGTTATTAATGTCCCTGAGAGAGGTAGCTGGTTAGTGGAACAAAGGCCATCTTCTAAAGGGGACAGGACTGCAGGTCTCTGTTATGGACAACTGATTGCCTTGGAAGCACAGGCTGAAACGCAGCGAGGGGCTCCACTGCTGTTGCCTCAGGTAACATTGAAACATGAAATATGATCCTGGAAGTCCAGTTTGAGTAAAAGATGAGTTTGCAGGCTTATAAGACACAAAACAGAGGTTGATATCACTCTGAGACCGAATTTCACAACTCTATCACGGTGACAATCAGTCACAGGTAGACATATGGCATTAATCTAACCAGGAATGTGTGCTTGTATGTATGCCTTGCCAAATCAAGATTCACCTTTTCCTTCCCGATGACTGTGCCTAATATTTGCCGTAGCCCTCTGCGTTGGCACCCTCGCTGCATCAATGGAGTGTAACCACTAGAATAAATGAGGGGGCTGCTAATAAGAGCCTCTTTCCCATCATAATGGTCATAACTATATGAATTTGTCACTACAAGTATGACTATCTGGAACGTTGTAACAGACCCATGGCTCTCTTATTACCTATTGGGGACACATTCCTAACATTCTACAACGTCCACAGAACCTCTTTAAAGTGGACCTAGAAATGACTGCAGAGCTAAAATGCGAGTTAACTGCAACTGTATTCTCTGTCAACAAGGCTGACTTTTCTAAACGGTGTTTACCACCACTCACCTCTACTTTTTTTTCCCCAACAGCCCACACTTTGTATCCACTCACATCTGTGCTGGCAGCTCACCCCTCTAAAGTCACCCCTAACAGCCTCCCGTGGCTTCAAAACTTCTAAGTCTGAGAGTCCCTTTGAAAGCCTTCCCTCTTTGATGGGAGGAATGCTACAGATCAAGCTGGAAACTGACTTCAGCTGCTATCTACTGCACTGCTATCTGTCACTATGTGGAGGATAAATATGGATTTGTATCATGATTGTAATGTGAATCCCACACACAAACACACAAAATGATGCGTTCCCTCCTTCTGCGGAGTCGCTGATCCGGACACAGGCCAGATAGCATCAAGTGATGGAGACGGTGACCCTGGCTGTGTCGAGTGTTGGAGCACCAATCACCTCCTCCCGCCACACACCCACTCAGCCACCAGCCAGACAAACTGCCCGCCCTCCAGCCACTCTGACAAAGAGCAGCTCTGTGAATGCCGAGAGATGTCCAGTGACACAAACACAACTCAGAGATAAGAGCTGGGAGGATATTTATTCTGACTTATCGTGTGTAAGTGACACGAGACGATGTCAGTGGTGCCAGCATTGCTGATTGTGTTTGAAGTCTTTCAAAGCCCGGCCCCTGTTTTCTCACCAAGAAAAGCTGCTCACTATCAGCATCAGAGATCATATGCTACAGGACTGAACCACCGATTCCCAAATTAGGGCTTTGCTAGCCCCAGGGACTTTAAAAAGAATTCCAGGTTGCCCCCTTCAGGGGATGCATATTGAATTGCTTTGTAAAAGGACGACTCCCATTAGATGTTGCGTTGTCACACACAAGAAGGAGGAGTCTTCTATTCAACTACAAGTCAACAGCATTAAGACATTGAGAGGGGAAACATGAATGACAAAGTCATGAAATGTGAATGTGTGTTATCTCTGGCCTCTTATTGGCCCATTCAAGCACACACACACACACAGCCACACCTAACACAAACAGGAACACAGGCTTGGTTACTGATTACAACTACGTCATTCATTTTTTTTAAAGCGCTGAAGGCAGCAACCACAACTCCAGCTCCATCACACAGCTCTACGGAGGTAAACGCACCTCCACGAGTTCCTCCAACATGTCAAGCTGGCAGAGCTCTTCGTAAATTCATTGCTGTAAAGTTTCAATAAGGATCAAGGTTTTCACTTTAGCTACGCGCCATTCTCTTCTCTTCCTTCCTTTTTATCTTTTGTTAGGTAGGCTAATATTTCTAATTAGAAACCAATGGTGGATTTGATGTTCCATTGATTCCGTCCCTGCAGCCTAAACCAGCGGAACGATGTGAATATGACGACACATACTTCAGACTAACTTCACTCTGCAGCTATTAACACTCAGGCGAAGTCACGAGTAGACTAAATAGAACGTCACGCTACCTATGTGAGACCGCATCGGGAGACCGAGTCCACGATTGTCAAAGGCGGATTCTAGGACCTGAACGAGGCTTACCTTGGAGAAGCGTCCCGGCGCTCACGAGAGCCAGCAGCAGCACAGCAGCGTGGTCCATCCTCAGAGAGAAAGCGGTTCTGTGGATACCTCTGGTGGTCCTGGAGAGACGAGGAGCTCAAGTCGGTCTGGACTCAACAAATATGCCCCGCAGATATGTCACTGTGGTTTGGAAGAGGCGTGGAAAGTCCGAAACATACCACAGTGTCAGAAGGGAGCGCAGGTTAAATACAGAGAGAGCTGACTGCGAGGACGAGGAGGAGGAGCCGGAGGAAGCTCTTCGGGGATTTTTTTCTTGTATGTTGCCTTGAGGTGCTGTTGGAAATATGGCTCTTCCTAAATCCACGTGAGGGTCAGCAAACAAAGCCAAAGGCTACAGTTTAAAGTCTCTGATGATTGACTAAACATTATTGGTTGAGGGGATGGGGCATGGGTCTTTAGCCCCACTGCAGTTTGATTGACTATTTGTCGAGTACTGTTTTTATCATTTCGTTGCCAGAAGTTAGTATTTATTTGATAGAAGAGAACTACCGTCATCATGATCGATGTGGATTGTTTGCCTTATAGGGAACATTTTGAGGTTAAACAGCTTGGTGCCCATCAGCAGCAGGGTATCGTTATCAACCACATGGCTGCTAAAAATAGACCTGAGCGTTATGGCTAAACTCTTCTATCACAATATAGGTTCTTTCATATCTCCATAACGATATAGCATATTTTAAGTCAATAAGTAAATGGTCTGAAATAACCCCATGGCTTTATATTCTCATGTGTGAATTAAATTTATACAAATGGAAAGTACTTAGAGTATTTACTTATTTGATATAGAACTTTATTGCAAAATAATCTGATTTTCTGAGAAATTTGAGTTGTGCTGTTATTATCAATTCAGACGACGTAAAAGTGAAGTTTCTTTGCTGTCTTTGTGTTATTCTCGTCAAGAACAACACAATGATGAGAGCATTACCAAACATGAAAGCAGCAGCACAACAGAGTCGACACACAAACTGAGCTGTAGGCTATAACAGCAAGTTGAGGAGAACAGGTATATGCCCAGTTACAGACTACTTCTCCCACGTAGTCTCTCAACTGAGGCTTCTGACAACTCCACTGAAAAGTTTACGAGGGACACCCGAAGGCAGCATTGTTTCCGCCTTGTTTGCCTCACCTTCAAGGCAGCGTTTTGAATAAAGCATCAGTTAGCTATTATTAAAAAGGATCTCCGTGAAATTCATTTCCATTAACTGTGTAGGGGCGATGTGAACCTGAGGTTCATCCTACAAATCTCATTTGTATAAAACAGACAGAGATTACGAAAAACTGCCAATATTATCATTATTAATAACATGTTCATTGCCAGCTTGGTATTGATAAAGTTCTCCCTAAAACAGAGCTATGAATTTACTTTTGAGAGGTAAAAACAAACTGGGTCCTTACACATACTATCAATGATAATGTATCATGAATTATATTACATGCATGATGGAGTTTCTGTAAATGAGCTACAAATGAACCACTGCAGGGTTATTCTCATCGGATCGATATCACAGGAATGTAACAAGTGAGTGGTGACTTGTTAGAGGAATATTAGAGTGATTATGTAAGCATTTTTTTATTAGGGGCAGCAGACAAAAACACTGACAACATACATAACCAGAGTTTAACTTTAAGAAAAAATTATATTAGGCAATAAAGTTAGTACAACCTAATGCAAGGTGCTATATCACTGATTCACTTAATTATATTCTATTGTGAACATATTGTGAGATTTCCAAAAGCTAAACCCATCTTTTGTTCACTAAAAGTAACTTCAACAAGACTTGGACTGTCAATAAAACTAATGGTGTGTGGATTCAAATGAAGAAAAAGAAATGCAAAAAACTATCCACTGAATACTACAAAGAAACAGATGATCTGCATCAAGCCCTTTACGGCTTCTCCTGAAGAATTAATGCTGCGTAACATTGAATTAAACAACAGTTAAATAAAGATTTTTGTTGCTTATATTTAGCTGGGAGACGATACAATTGAGTGTTGTAGCTTATACTGCAGATTATACATTTATATTTTATTTTCTGGTAAAGCTCAAAGTCAGTAAATGTATTATGAGCACATTGCACATTTCCATGAGTTTTTTTCACACTCTAGCAGTGAAGGTAGATTTGAATGTATTGTTATTAATGTCCAATAGAAAGTTCTTCTCCGCTTCTCCCCAATGTACAAATAATACAATACTTTATTGATTACTGTATTTTGCAGGCATATTTCCAGAGAGAGGCCAGAGGTCCATTTTAAAACTGCACTCTTGGAGCGGGAGGTATGCGTTCAGTGCCTGCTGAAGGACACTTCAGCAGAATCCAAGACATTCAGTTGAAGAATGTTCTTTGACACAAAAAGGTAATAATATCACCGAATCACTTACTGACACGCTGAACAAAAAATCTAGCTAAATTCACAATCTGTGAAAAGAAATTCAGCAGACTGATAACAGTAGTTTGACACAGCTTTGGTCAATAGTATTCAGAGTCGTCATGGTGAACATTTGGAAGAAAATCATCTGCATATGACATACATAGTATATGACTACATAGTCACAGTAGTTGGAAACCAGCAGACTGTTACAAGAATACAGTTGACAATGTTTTAAGTTCAAATTCAGTAACACTTTCTGTGACGCCCATATCTATATATATATATATATATATATATTGTATCTAATGCATTATAATTAGCTTATAGCACTGTATAATTATAGTAATAAGCACTCATACATATCCATAATGCATTATAACAATAATCATAACACATTATCAAGACTTTTACAATGACTAATACGGTCAAGTATTATAATACTTTTGTTTAACCTTACTAAAACCGGAGGAAGTGCATTTGTTGAGGGCTATTTTCAGCTGAACATTCAGTGTACTACCAGTGTACTACCGGCTGAACATTCAGTGTACTACTGAATGTTCAGAATGTGTACTACTGAATGTTCAGCCGCTACTGTATTTCTGGCAACATGATGATGTTGAGTCATGTGTTGACAATAAGAAAAATAAAGAGTATCACCAGACTTATCTTTTGATCAGGTTGTTACTGTACAACAATTTCTAAATTTCTGCAGTAAAAATTCACCATTGCCGTTTATTCTTTTTGTTCAGTGACTCTTAGTGTCTTTGTCACATCAGAAACACATCTAAACTATCCAGCTTGTGTCATGTTGAGTGTTTCCAGATGATTCCAATCCCTTAATGATCTGACTCAAGAAGGATTAAATCAACATTTCATATTGTATGTCTATCAATATTATCATCATTATCATTTGTTGTAAATGTAAACCTTAATGCGGGAAAAACATATAACACATGTTCATTCTCATGATATGTGAATGCTGTGTGACCTACACCTGTCTGTATATGAAAGGTGATTCACAGAGGCTGGGGAAAGCCTCATTCTTGCCAGCAGGTAATCCAAAAAGGTAAAAAACACAGATAACAACAACCAGCCTGGTCTCAACATATTGGAAACTATCCCCTACAGAGGAGCTCATGAGCAAATGAGAAGCAGCTGTGCAGGAAGGCTGCTGATAACTAGGGCCATCAGGTGGTCAACAGAGGACAGAAACTCACCGGGGACATCTAGTGGACATGACTGGCTTTGGACAAATACACACAGAGGATGCATCTCATTTTTTTATCTTTATATTTCCTCAATTGGACCTTTCTCCTTCTCTTGCTCCTCAGACAGACATTATAAACTGTCCATAATGATGGTACACCCATTCCACTTCCATGTCAAGTGGGAACAGATAAGACAAAGATTTCAGTGGACAGAGATTATGCACTCTCTAACTGGGATTAGAGTATTCTGTCATTCTATACTTGTGTGTTAATTGTGTTATATTGAAATCTTAAATGTTTTATTCGCCGAGGACCTTCACAAGGCCCTCTGTTATGCACAGTTTAGACTTTAAAAGTACAAACCAATGAAGCTGGCGATTATTCACACCCCCACCAGGGTACTTAATTAATAACCTAATGTGTATTATTTACTGCATTAGGAGGCACAGTTATTCAGCAGGTGAGACATTAAATAAACTGACTAGGTAAAAACAAATGATTAAAGTGCCTCCTACAGGTTTATCTGAGAAATTACTGTAGAAGAAAAAAATGTGTTGATATGACACAAATACAGGTACATGCTTATGTCCAAAGAAAATGTAAGATTTAGTAATATAAGTATTCCAAGTATTACTCAATAAAATAATAATTACTGAACTCTCACTTTCGCTGTTTTGGGGTTTTGTGTTTGCATATGTGTGTGTGTGAGAGAGGAAGAGACTATTCTACTTTGTAGCCTCGCTGCTGCCCACTTCTGCTTGCTGGCAGATGGAAAGGCTCAATGATTCTCTTGTCATCCTTTCTTATACAACCCCCCAGCTTCTCTCCCTCACAGTATCTGAGCATCTTGCTGATAGAGTTTCCCTTTGAATCCATGCTGCAGTTTCCAGCAGACCTGAATAGGAAATTCCATCCTATTATTTTCAGTCAAACAAAGGTTGTCATGTAGATGAAAGTAAATGGCAAACAGTGCAAGTAAGCACCTGGTTGGCTGAAGTTAGCAATCTAGCTTTAAAAAACAGAGCAACCGCAGTCAAATTTGCAGGGATGGGATGTAACTACATAAGTGGGGCCGCTGTATATTTCAAGGGTACATTCTTGTCATTTATCTAATATGTGACAGTTTGGCCTCAGAATATGAAACGCTGTATGTTTCATGACTAATAAATATAGTCAAACACTACTTCAATGTTAGCAATCAAAAACAACCCATTTTTTGTATGTGAATGTGCAGACCCTATAACAGGGCTGTACTGCTGCACACTCTTCACTAAAGTAAGGACTCAGCATGTAGTGTTTCTTGTGTTTCCAGCCCTATATCTTTGGGTGTGATCCGCCTGGCTCTCCCTGCTCTGCTCATCATACACACCTTTCAGAATCAGAATCAGAATCAGAAACTGTTTATTGCCAATGTATGTTGCACATACAAGGAATTTGTACATAACATTGAACAATCAACAACAATCCACACTGTGCAAGAAATAGAAACATATTACAATTTACAATAGAATATAAAAGAATATTAAATAAAGTGCACAACAAACAGATAACAGTACTTCAAATAAGTATGATGAAGTGGAGTATAAAAGTGTCAAGTGTGTTTAAATGAAGAAACAGAGAAGGGATGTGCAGGGGAGTGTACCGGTAGGA